CAATATATAAGAAATTTAGTAAGTTCACATGTCGAACAATCCAGCACAGTACTTCTATTTCTTAATGTGCTGCAAAACCAAAATGACAGGTACTAAGAACACCCTACACCATCTGTGATTCCTTCAACAGGCCAAACATTGCAGCCTGTGTGGTTCTCTGCCTGCTCACTTCCTGCTCACATCTCCCACATTCATACCAGGATGTCTCAGCTTTGCTCAGCAATTGGTTTTCTAGATTTGTCAAATTTTATTTGAATTTTTGTCTAGATCTCATGGTGATTATTTTATGTTAACTATAAATATTATTCTATACTATTATAGGAAAACTTTATTTGGAGAATATAAATTGTTTTACAAGCGCGTACCTTTAATGTCTAGAGAATAAAACACCAGAGAGAGCCTGGCAGTGCCAGGCACTATGACGAGCAGGGTGAATGATAAATGCAGGAGCAAGGGCCTGAAACTTGGCAGCAACAGAAGGATAGAGGTGTCAGCACTCAGGTGCCTGCCAGGAATCCACTGAATGCAGGTGATGCTACAAGAGGACAGTCTCCACCTGAGGGGTCTGGCCAGGCAGTTGCAGGGCCATTGGAGAGGCAGTCTCTAGTCATGGCAGGGGAGGTGGAACCTTCAGAGAATTGGGTCAGACATGTAGGATTATGGCTGAGTGTCCAAGATTCTACAGCACCACTGCCAGGTGATAGAGTCCAGTGTTAGGACTGAGGGTCTTTCGGGTCTCCCCTTTGGAGGCCTAGAGGGGTTGGGTGTGAGAAGGGCATCTGGGATCAGAGGAGGTAGGAATACCTCTGTGCAGCTTTCAGAATTCCTTAGCAATTTACCTAAGGAATTTGTGAGCATTGGAATACTGATGGCCCCTGCACTGAACACTTGCATTAGACAACCTTGGCTTTAACCATAGTCCAAATCTGATCTTCTCCATTTATTCCTGGCACTCATGTGACTAACAAACAAAATTTCCAAATTCTGTGATATTTTTACTCAATATTTCATTTTCATTTTCAGAAACATTTCAGTGTTAGCGAACCTCACAGTGTATGGCTTCTTTGTCAGTGTGCCCTAAGTGCACTTGATTGATAGGAGGAGGGCTTTTATGCACCCAAAGTTAAATCCAGGCTCCCCACTTCTTCCTTATATGCGATGTTTCCTTTTAGCTTTATATATTCACGAACACTAATATTTATTGGTTTTGTATATATTATAAAAGTGTGTCTATATCTGTATATAGACATTACATTATGTACCTGTGTGTATAAATATTTCACGATTGGGTATAAATTTCTTGTTCAAATTAACATTGATGGCATTTTTAGATTTATAACTGTGGGTATCTCTCTTTCTCTCTCCTCCTCTCTTTCTCTTTCATACACAAGAAACATTTACTTTTCACACCTTCTACTGAGCATGCTCACAGTGCCCTTTTCCAGCTCCTGGGGGGTCACTCAATGTGTTCATCTGCATTGACCCTGTTTATCTCTTTCTTTCTTTTTTCCTTTTTTCTTTCTTTGGAAATACATACCATTGTTTGTGTCTGGATTTGCATAATACTGACCTGATAAAATGAGATGGAAAGGGTCCCATACTCTCCAATTTCTTGGATGTTTCCCACTGTGCAACTGTCATGTAGACCTACATTGTCTTGCTGACTCTACCCAGCCACTTTTCACCTCTTAATGTACAAAAGAGGGGTTGTTGTTACTTTTCTATTGTTTAATTACTTTTATTTTAGAATGATCTTCACACCATTTAATTTAATCTTCACACATTTCAATGTACATTAAGTACATTGAAAATTTTCTATAGTATCTTTGGGCATCTGAATTCTGGTGTATTGTTGACATTGTCTGTGTGTGTGTGTGTGTGTGTGTGTGTGTGTGTGTGTGTGTGTTTCCAGGATTGCAACCTAGACACTAAGCAAGAATTGTGCCTTGAGCTACATCACCAGCTCCCATGCTAATTCTTAAGGTGTTTTGGGTCTTCTCTATTTATCTTAGCAAATCTTGCAAGAGAGTCCTTAAATTTATTGATCTTTAGAAATGAATGGGAAAAGTAGTAGGTCCCCATAACAGTAAAGGGGCAAAGGGGATGATCAGATCATGAGCAATTCAGATATTATTATTATTATTATTATTATTATTATGAAAGTGCATTCACTTACCAAAACTTTTCAGCATCAAGATTAGGAGCACTGCACAGCACAGACTACCAGCTCTTGCCCTTGTGATTCAGATGCTGGCTGGAAGCTGCCCAGCATTGCAGGATTGTGAGGAACCACATAGGACTACCATGAGAAAAGATTAATTCATAATTCAAAGGATGAAGTTTCCATTGCATGCTAGGGCTTTGGCATTACAGTAAAGTCGAGGAATCTTATGTCAAAGCATTGCAAGTTGGAGCCATTTGATTTATATTAGGTTTTATATTTTCATCAATTAGGAATTCACAAAATCCATGGGATTACATCCCAATGATCACCTTATATCCTCATTAACACAGTAGGGTGATCTCACATAAAATCAAAAGAAAGAATAAACTTTAAATTAAATAGTGAATTTGGCATTTGATCTGAAAGCTTAGAATATATTTAGGCAACTAAAGTATAAATGTAAGACCTAAAATGAAGAGAGAATCTTTAATATTAGTGGTGTAATTATTCTGAACTCATCAGTGGCATTTATGTTCATGATTTGTTGTGGTTTGGATATGATATGTGCACTATAAACTTGTGTTTTTCTGTTATCCTCAAAATCTTCTCCATTCACTCATATGCATCAGCTTGATTATGATATAGCTGTGCATACATTTCATTTTTAGTATTTATCCTGCTAGATGTTCTCTGAGATTTGACAATCTGTAGTTTGTTGTCTATCATTATGTTGTAAAATTGTTAGTGTTTATTACTGGAATATTTTTAGACCTCTTTCTCTTTTCCTATGTTTCCCATTACAGATATTTTATTTTGTGTAATCTTCCCAAGAACTTGGAAATGCTGTGTACTTTATCATTCTCATTTTTTAAAATTTTCAATATAATCATTTTCTATCGACATTGTCAAGCTCCTTTATTCTCTTCTTGTCTGTCTGTGGGCAGCCCATTGGTGACTCCATTAAAGGCATTCCTCACTTATGTTCTAATCTATTTCATTTCTGACATACCCTTGGGATTCTTTCTTAGAGATTGAATCCCTCAGCTTACATTTGCCATCTGAAATAGCCTGCTGTCTACTCGGTCCTCACAGTCATTAATGTGTTCATCAGCATCATTTTTAAATTGCTATGTGAAAGTTTTCAAATCAATGTCCTGTGGGAGTCTGGTTCTGAAATCTGCTTTCTCCCATGTCTTGTGTCTTGCATTTTGCATGCCTTATCATTTCTTTCACCGCCCTGCCCCAACACTACACCACCCTCATTTTATAAGATCCACCTGCTGAGGCCTTCCTTTGGAAAATGAATTAGTTTTAGGCTGAGAGCATGGGGAAGAGTGAATCCCCAGGCAGGAGTTTTCCCCCAGCAGTGGGCTGAGGGATAGGGCTCAGCCTCAGGTGTCTCTTATTCCCTATGCTTCCCTGGAGAGCTGTTCCTCCAGAGGTTCTAGGAAACTTGCAGGGATGTGGTAGGCTGGGAGGAGCTATAGTGCCTATTCATTTGTCAAGTAACCCCAGAACACTTGGATGCTAGCTTCCCAGTGTAGGTCTCTACAGGTCCATTTTAACTATTAAGAAATGAAGGCTCCAAAACAGCACACAAGCTATTCAAAATCAAAGCACAGGTAAAGGCAGGTGAGACAGAATGCCTTTGAATAGGACTTTGGCATTTATTTGTGGACTTAACACTTTGTATTTCTGAAGGGTTATGAATTTATACCATAAGGCCAGGAAGGAGTGAGATAGGAGACAGACATAATTATGTCTAGACAAAGACAGCAAAGAAACCACACATCTCAGCTTTGTGGTTCTCATTACAGTTGTTTATGTATCATGGGCTTCATGAGTTTTCAAAAACTTGGTTTCTTTGTGGGAGGAAAATATTCATCAAAAGAAAGACAAAGTTTAAAGTTAAATAGTGAATTTGGTGGGCAATAAAAGAGAATAAAATTATGGCATTTGCAGGTAAATGGATGGAGTTAAGGATATCATGCTAAGGGAAGTAAAGCAATGCCAAAAAATACAAAGGCCGAAGAATGTTTTATCTGATAAGCACATGCTAATCCATAATGGGGATGAGGGTGGCATGGGATAAGTGGAGGAACTTTGGGTTGGCCAAGGGAGAGAGAGGAGAGGGAAGTGGGCATGGGGATAGGAAAGATGGTGGAATAAAACAGATACATTACCCTAGGTACAAGTATAATTGCAGGAAGGGTGTGACCCTACTTCATGTACAACCAGAGAAGTGAAAAATTGTGCTCTATTTGTGTTCAATGAATGGAAGACCATTCTGCTGTCATGTATAAATTTAGATTAGAATAAATAATTTTTTTAAAAAAAAGTGAAATTTGAAAATATTTTCTGAGATTTTTCCAGGTAAGAAAGATAATGAGCAATTAATTCTCTTCTCTTGTCCAATAAACTGAAAGGGCTCTTTGATGCAAAGGCCCATGACTTAATCAAGTGTGCATGGTAGGTGTCCAGCACAATCCCCAGCACAATGAATGCATAAGTAGGTGTTTCATAACTATTTCATTAGCTCAATTAATGAAGAAAATGCATGAGTTAAATGCTCAGTGCTTGGTTGCTTGTAGGTCAAAAACCAAAACTGAGTTTCAAGAAAAGTAAATATTAAAGTCCTCATTGAAGAGATTCATCATCTCTCTGTAGAAAGTGAATAATCCAATTTAGAAACATAAAACTGAGCACGATAGATGACGAGAAATGTTAGCCTAAGTACAAAATGAAGCGATGGAAAAAAGAGCTTTCGGAGTAAGCTGGCATTGCTAGGGGAAGCTTCAAGAAACAGAGACCTAACAGGTGACCTAAGTCAACTGGAAGGCAGCCAAACCAGGCGTTTTTATTGATCCTCCAGTGCTTCAATCTACTGGCACAACTGACACCGCCCACGGTATTCTCTCCGCACCACCCGAAGCCCATGCACGCTCACCTACCACTCCCCTGGCCCCCACCCCATCCCTGCGCGCCCGCGGACAACCCGGTGCACACTCACGCGCTCCATCGCCTCTAGTATCCAGCTCAGAGGCGCCCCGGGAGGGTGGCGGCACCCAGTCCCCATCAGCTGGCACCACGGGGACCAACAGTCAGAAGGACGCGGTTCTGCACGCGCCATTCTCACCCGTCACGCGTCCCAGCGGCGCCTCTTACAAGCGACCCGCCCGCCGCCCTTGGGAAGTCCTAGATCCTGCTCCACCGAGCCGCAGTCGCAGAGGTCAGGAAGCGTCCGAAGTTCTGGGGGCCGCCACCAACTTCGCGCTGCAGCCAGTTGCGGAAAGGGCGACCCCGGCACGTCTGCCTATGCACACCAGCCGGCAACTGGCAGAGCGCGCGGCGAGGCCCGCGGACGCCACGGGCCGCCCAGGCAGCCGCTAGAGCGCGTCCCGAGCGCGCCGCATTCTAAGAGGTTGCCGCCTCAACGGCTCTTCAGCGGGAACCGGCACTGCAGAGGACCACCGCGGACAGTACGCGCCCTGCGGGCGGGACCTGCACCTGCGTCTGGGGCCTTGGGGCGGTAGGCAATGCAGTGAGCCATTCAGCCAAAGAGAGCACAGGACGCAGCACCTATTTCAAGAATATTAAAGCTCTCATAGAGAGACGATGTATACAATAGAAGCAGATGGAGATACAAGGAAGCCAAAGGATCATGAAACGTTGAAAGAGAACAGCGGGAGTTGACAGGACTACACAATGGGCAGGAGGAGTGGTAAGATGCTGCAGTTGAATTGTACAGTGCATTTATTTTTATGTTTTAACCCATTGGTAAATTCACCATCCCACGTTGATTAGCCAGACTTTAGCTGGAGAAGCCAAGGCTCTGTTTCTCATGCCCTACTGATTCATGCCTTTACCTTTCTTTGTCCACCATAGATCAGGTCCCAGCAGCAACTCTATCTCTGGCTGTTTTTCAAAAACCTCCAGCCACTCCAGCCCTGTGTCCATACACAGATGCCTGAGAAATCTTCAGCCAGACCCATGTACTGACACTTACTCTGTGTTCTTTTAGAACATCCTGTGGATTTCGCTGAAGAGCTTCCAAATTGGAGCCATAGATTCCTGAAACTACAAGTGGAAGAGGCTTTGTTCTGATTGCACTGTCTTGTGGAAGGCTTCTGATTGCACAGAACCCAGGGAGGGCCTGACAACACTGAAGTCAGAGCAAGAAGATGCTGTCCACACAGAATGGACTCCGAGGTAGGAGCAGTGGCAAAGACACCCTGTAGCCACACAGTGTTTATGTTTCTGTTTTGTATGGTTGAATACTAGAAAGCATCTTTGTCTTCAGCAGTGAATGGGATGGCCCACTAGACAGTCACACACTGAAAGTAGGACACTATAGAAGCTGGTCTCTATAACAGCTGGAGGACACTGCTGCTTTTGAAACCTGGGGAGGGAGTTTTGAATCCAAAAATATATGTCTGAATGCAGGTCTCTTTATAGTTTTCATATCTTAATGACCTTGTGTCAAGAGATCTGATTCCATGACTTGGAGTGTGCTGTGTTTGTAACCACCTTTTCTAGCCCTACGTGGAAAGTTGACCTTTGCCAGGAGATGAGCTCATTCTCCCCTTGTCACCAAAAACACTAGCCTTGGACCCTGATTGGTTATGAGCTCTTTTGCAAAAGACCAGGAGATCTTATTTGGAATTAGTACTTATTTCTGCCTAGACTCTTTTTTATATATTTATTTTAAGTTGCAGTTGGACACAATACGTTTATTTTATTAATTTTTATGTGGTGCTGAGGATTAAATCTAGGGCCTCACACATGGTAGGCAAGCACTCTTCCACTAAGCCACAACTCCAGCCCTGCATAGACTCTTTCTGCTCTCCAACAAATTACCTGGGTTGCCCATCTAAGAGGAAGAGATCCTTTCTCACAGCCCTGGAGACTATGGAGTCCCAGTTCCAGGTGCTGAGCATTGGACTGCTGAGGGCATTCTTGCTGTGTCTGCACATGGCAGAAGGCAGGAGGACAGGGCGTGGGGTGGGGGGGGGTGAAACTCCCACAGGCACAACCTGCAGCCAGGAGACAAAAGTTCTTCTGTCATCTTCCAGGTGGAGGGAGAGCAGTGCACCCACTCTCTGCAGGTTCAGGATGTGCAGCAGCATCATCTTCTCTTCCTCACCGTCAACATCTGGATAACAGGGCACAGCGAGGACTGGATACTTCAAGAATGTTTTGTCTGGGATGAGTGTGTGCCCCACCATTGTGGGGAGATGCAGGGAGAATAAGAACCTTCTGCAACAGAATCCAGTTTACAGGAAGAAGAAGAAGAAGAAGAACGGATACTAAGAGATTAGGATGGAGGCCAGTGAATGGTCCTTCACTGGCAGCACAATAACCATGGGGGCATTGGGAAAAGAGGCTCTTCTTTGCTGCCTATGAGGGTTCCTAGATGCAGTCTGAGGTGTGGGTTGTGGGACAACAGAATGGTACAGATTGAAGTTGGGTGGGAGATGGATCGGGGGGTGCCTGTCCCTTAGCTGGCTGCTTACAGCCATGGACTTGAGGTATGGGCAGGAGCTGTTACTGGAAGCAGAAGATGGAAAAATGACCACCATAGAAGGGGGGGTAGTGTCCATGGCCGTGTCCTCAGGCAGCACAGTGGGATGCTGGGAAAGATGAGCTGATGACTTTGCTATGGTGGTTGGGGGGACACTCCTAGCAGAGTCCTGGCCCTGGGTATTGGGGCTTTGAGTGGAAGGGACTAGAGCAGGTCTTGGAAGGAATGAGGAGAAGGAGGAAGAGGAGCAGTAGGAGGAGCAGCCAAAGGAGAGGGATTATTAGGAGGAGGAAGAGGAGGAGGGAGGAGGAGGAGGGAATGGAGAAGGGGAAAGAAAAGAAAATGAAGGGGGAAGAGAAGGAGGAGGAAGAGAAAGAGGAGAAGGAGAATCAATACACATGGGGATTGGGAATTCCATTCTTGAAGAGGTAGGCTTGGAGGGGAAAGGGACCTGGTATGAGGTGTGGGAAGTTGGGAATTGGGAGGTGCCACAGGTCTTGCCAGGTGTGTGGTTTGGTGAAACACATTAGGGGTAACACCCACACTGGGACTGGGCCTGAAGGAAGAAAGAGGGTTAGTGGGAGGAGGCAGAGGAATGGAAGTTGGGATTTCCCCCTCATCTTTATTAGGTGAGGTGGAAGGTCGAGGGATGGATAGGTTCAGGGGCCCAGTAGGCTGGAACTCCAACTGCCTGCTGACAAGGATACTTGGGATGGGGGAAGGGTGGGGGAAGTGGGCCTGCATTCCAGGCAGGGCCTGCAGGTGGGAAGAAAGAATGGACAGACTGAGTGGTGGTGCAGTCCTCCAGAGCCTCTCTTCTGCCCTGTAAGGCCTCTGCATCAGCCTCCAAGTTCTTCCTCTTCGCACTCTGAACCTCCCTCATCAGGGTGCCTGAGTCTTCCTCTGGACACAAAAGTGGCCGCTTAGCAGGTGGGGGCAGCCCATCTTGATGCCAGGGCTTCAACAATGTCAGGGCCACTGGCATGGGCTGCTTTCTTTTCTTGGGCCTCCAGGTAGCAGCACTTTGTGGATGACAGCTCTGTGATGGAAGACAGGAAGGCTTTTGGCCCTGCACTCCCTTGATGGATGCCTAGGAGCCTGGAGAGATGGGACAAGTTCATCTAGGCTCTCCTTGGCCCACTTGTCCTGCATTGAGCAGCCCTCAGCATTAAGCAGGGTGAGCACTCCTTGAGCAGGGCAGTGGTTCTGCAGGTGGCAGGGCTCCCACATGACAAGTTCTTGGGAGACAACCTGGGCCCTCTCTGGAATGCTGTTTCCTTCTAGGGGCTAAGAACTGGGCTCCAGTGCACTAAGGTCTCCCTGAGTCTCCAGAGGACATGTTGGTGTTGCTTTCCCTTTGCTCGGGGCACCCCTCTGCAGATCCTCCTGCCTCTTTTGCCATTGGGGACTGCCCTGCTCCTCCTCCTCCTCCTCCTCCTGGTGAACCTTGCCTTCTTCACGCTGTTCATGGGCCCTGAGCTCTGCTTCTTTGGAATCACCAACAGGGAAGTGAGCCGGTATCATAGGCCCCTCAGCCTGGTGGACCTGCTGATAAAGTGGCCTGCACCAAGGAGTGGCCTGCACCGAGGAGTGGCCTGCACTGAGGAGGAGGGATCCTTACTGTTGTCGAGGGTTCAAACATCCACGAGTTCCTAAATGATAGGTCTGGCTTTATGTGGAAGGACCTCCAGGACAGCAGCAGCAGGATCCCCAGAGAGGAGTGCACCACCTGCAGGAGAGGGTCTCTATCGCAGCCAGCTACATAAGGCACCCGAGGTCAGGGATCTTGGTGGACATGCCTGCAGGCAGGGCTGATGGAAGAGGCTGGTACAGCAGGGTGATTCCTGCGAGAAGTGGGAGCATTGCAGGCCAGATGGATGGGAGTTTGATGGTCTACAAGGGCCCAGCAGCGTGGCCGGCGACTGTGCTTGCTCAATAGACTGCCCATTGAGGGAACCTGTTGCTCTTCTGATCCAACAGTAGTCAGAAGTGCAGAGGAGCTCGGCAGTCACCAGCTCCCCTGGAGACCAAAAGCTAAACTCTAACATTTAACCCTTGTGGCCGGCACGCATGACGGAGAAGGGACTTGGGGCCAAGAAGGTTGGTCAAAAGAAGGCCTCCAGGGTAAAGAGACCCTACCCCCACTGTCCCCTCTTAGTCTGAGCTTAGTGCTCCTCCAGACTCGGCGCTGCTGCCTCTCCCACACCCACCACACAATTTTCTCACCACTTCAAAGGGTCATTCTGAGGCTGCTTTCCTTTTGGTTATTTAGGCCGTCGTTCTACATAACATCTCTATGGATTCTACTTGACATGACTGTAGCCATCCAGAGTTGAAACAACCATCAATTGCCCCCAAATAGCTCTAGTCAATTTTTCCTCCATAGTTCCCACCATACTATCAATTTAGAAAACCATTACAATGGTCCCTGAAACTGTCCCACAGGATTCTTGAGCCAGTAATGGTGCCTGACTGTGTGTGATATTACTTCAGGTAAAATAAGTTCATTTTGTTTGGGAAGAATTCCCTTTCATCCTAACCAAAGCATATGCATATCCTTCTCTCTAAACCATATTGAAGGTGTGCAGTATTCTTCCTGTTGCCTAGCATCATATTTCACTTGGGACACCCAAAGCCAGCACTGAGCAGCCCTTTGCTGCCAAACCAGCTTGATTTTTTTTCCACATACACTACATATTCTGCTCAATATTTAGACACATTAGCCCAGTCTTCCTGAGGTTCTGTAGCACTCCTGAGTTTCCAGTTTCATCAGGCTGCATGGGCTTCATGTGGAGAGAGGTGGACCCTGATCTAGCTTCACCTTTGAATCCCTGAGCATCACAGCAGACAAAAGAGGGGACTCTGGGCACCATACACTGCTCTAGGGGAATCTTTATCCTGAACTTGTGGAGGTCTCTGATCCTCAGAAGCCCCCGGGGTGTCCAGGGGAGTCAACTCTGTGAATAATCCTGCTATCAGACATGATTGCTCCTACTTTTACCCCATCCCTGGGGTCAAAACAGGGAGAAACCCCTAGCTTTGGTGCCCAGTTGCTCTGTAGCAAGGGTGCCTCCAGGGCACATCTGCTAGATAAATTGCTCATTAAGGAGATTGCATGGGATGTGTGAACTGGCCTATTTCATCTTTACATGCACAGGAATATTGCATATGTTCCCTGTGCCACACCAAATACCAGGCAAGGAGAAAAATGCAGCAGTTCCATTTCCCCCACATCTTTTGCTTTCCTTGGCTTCAGTTACCTGTGATCAGCAAGGCTCAAAAAGTGTTACTTGTCTTACTCGTAGAGACAAAGACTACATTCTCATGAATTAGAGTGTATTATAACTGTTCCATTTCACTATTGTTAACCTCTTCTAGTGCCTGCTCTAAAGTGAGCTTTATAACTGTGCATTGTGAAGGATAAAGCCATGTATCCAGGGCTCAGTACTCTTCATTATTTCAAGTGTCCACTGGGGGCGTTTGAACATATTACATGCAGAGAAGGAGGTCTACTGCATGAGCTGTCAGGGGCCCAGATATTCTGTATTTGAAATGTCAGTAAAGCTGCCATTCCTCATTTAGCTTGAAGTGGATCTGATGGAAAAAAAAAAGAAGCAAGCTCTCCACAATAATAGCAGCCCACAGGCTCAAACATCATACAGATCTGAAGTGAGGCCTATCTGAAGATGTTATTTGGGTTTCAAATACATATTGGATACAGAAGACAGAAAAACTTTAATAACCTGAAAATTGATGGACATAATAAAATCATGCATATTTTAATTGATTTTGTGGCTAGTAAAAAATATGCAGGTACAAATGAGTCATGTGACATGTAATTTTCTCTAGGACAATGCTGGCTTATGCTCAGGGACTCCATCGCCACCCAGTGGGTCCAACCTGACTGGGACACAGACCCAGAGCAGCAGCTGCCAGCTGGATTGAGACTGTGGGGAAAATTCAAGTTGCCACATTCCATAGTCACCCAAGCTGGGATCTGACTGAGCCAAGAAAGACCATTACTCCACCCGGCTATTGAGAATGCTGTCCTTCTCAGCAAGGGACCCAGTGTCCCTATGGGTACGTGATGTACCTAGCAGGAAGGTGACCCCAGACACCACTTGCTGTCCTCATCACTTTAAGAGAGTTCCGTTCCTGGAACCTCACTCTCTTATATAATTCTCCTCCTACAGAAAGCCCCAAAATCAAAATATTTTTTAAAACACATGATTAAGATCACCACCCTGAGAGTCTTGTCATACCTCTGCCTGATTCTGAAGTGGGTCAGATGTAGAGTAAGGTCCTCCCAGAGGAGTTTTTGCATACAAGGTCTCTCTTCTTCCCTCTTATACATTCCATCTCATTCTTTTTGTGACACAATCATTACTTGAATAAAGGAGTTGCTTGTGTTTCTGAAGACACATAAAGAACATCATGCAAAGCAGAGCAATTTATCCTGAAGGGGTGTACTTTATTGATTCAGATGGATTCCTTATTCTGGATTACCTCCTCGGTGTTATGTCTGTATATGACTAAAATTAAATTTTGAACAAAAATTTTTAAAAGTACCCATTAGGACCTATTATTATTCTTGTTGAAACCCATGAAGCTATTTTTTAAAAGGATCACCTCTCACCTCCCGTAAAACTACCTTCTTTGGAGGTTGAGGAAGTTAATTAATCCAAATCAGTTCCTCTATAAAGCATACTGAAGAGCACAATGATGGCTGTAAAAGGTCTTTTTTCTGTGATTGGGAAGATCCTATTGAAAGTTTGGAAACCAAATTCAAGACCTATTCCAATCAGCAATTCAAAAACATGTTGCTTTTTCCCCCTTTTTAGTCACCATACCCAGAGGAATATATATTTTAGTAATGTTACTATATCTTTAGTACCACAACTTACACAAAATTCGATCCACTTTTTTAAAGTCTCAGAACTAGTTACTCATGGCTTTGCAAGACTCACAGGTGATTAGAATTTGCAGATTGAATGAAAAACCATCAGAGGCCAGGCTTGTCTGGGCAGGATTATATATTTAAGTTATTTAGATATGTTTCATTTCCTAGGGAATAATTTGCATATCTTTCCAGCCACGCTGATCATTTCAAATCAAAGGAAAGACACATCCAGCTCTCAAAGCATAATGTTTATTAGACAAATTCAAAATTACACACCTGAACATAGTGAAAAAATACTCAGTTAAACCCTTTCAAATTGAGTTTGCCTGGAGTATTGCAATCAAGCCCCCAGGACTTCGGGAGACAGCCTGAAGGACAGATCAAGGTATTTCTGCAGGAATAAGGGTCTCACTCACCTGTGATGGGGAGGAGAAACCTACACTTTTTCAGATCTCACTGTCTGAAGCTGTTCAGCAGTCATTGAAGACGCCCCTCCCATCACTGATTGGATCCTGTGTTGATGTCATTCCCCTGAGCCCTCACTCTATCTCTTTCCATAGAAGAGGAAGAAAGCAAAAATGAAAGTTCTGTTTCATCTCCTGGAAAACTGAAACACCAAGGCTCTAACTAAACATGTCTTTAATTTCCTCATGTGTTCATGTGAAGAAAAAACACACAAATTAACCATGGAATACAGCTTGAAGCCACAAAAGTTGGGGCTGAAATATGATTTTTGTTCTTGGATATCCACTTCTCTTTCCTGACACAGAGGAATGCACAGAAGCACCCAAACCTGGGTCTGCACATTTCTTCCTCTTTTCAGAGTATTCCAGACAAATGTACCTCAATAGGAATTGATATTTCAAGAGAATGAGTTAATTCATGTATGAATTATTTATTTTTTCCTGCAACATGGGCTGGACATCTTGGGCATATTGGGAAGATGAAAGGTTCCCTACGGGTGTTTCTGACCTGAACATCTGTTTCCAGAAAAGCAGGTGTGGAAAAATGCCCATCCAGAGCTGTTCTGCTGAAATACTCTAGGTGGGAAGGGCTCCAGGGTTCTGTCTCTGTTCAGACTGCAGAGCTGAGCAGAGAGGGTATGTGGGTGCCCCTTTCTCAGGTAATTGGGTCTGTCAACCAGCAGGTGGCACTAGATATCCCAGTACCTGCTAAGTTTGGAGTCTTTCTGATAGTCTCACCCATGCTTCTGCTTGAGGACGGTCCCCCATTAGTGATACTTTCCAAGTTGACAAACTCAGACTCTTAGTTCACCCTAGCAGAATTTGTAACCCACTTCATTCTTACATACCATCTATGGACCCTGTGTATATCGAATTCAGGAAGTAGGGTTTTCTGTCAAAAAGAAAACTTAGATGACCACTAGGCCTTCTGTAAGCATATGTACTATACTTGCCTCCCTCCCCCATACCCACAAACACGTGCTTCCCAACTTGGTCTTTAGGTATAAATGATGAACCATAGCATATGTTTAAGGTGTACTACTTGATACATTGTGAAATGATTACCAGCAATGTATTTATGTCTATCATCTCATGCATTTATGATTTTTTCCCGAGACCTAGAATCAAGAAACTTAAGATCTTCCCTCTGTATAGTTCAAGAATATGAAGCAGACATGTTGCCCAGAGTCACCATGCTGCACACTGGATATCTAGAACTTACTCAACTCACAGAACTAAAACCCCACACCCACTGAAAAATTACACCTCGATTCCCCCCAAGTAACAAACACAGCAATACCCTGCCCTGCGGCCATCACCACCAAGGACACTTGAATGGCCCCTTCTAGGAACCACTACGTGATGACGTCATGATCTTCAAGGGGTAAACATGTTCCTCAGTTCCAGGGTGATCTTGGCCATGCATTTATGAGTATATGAATGGCAGTGGGCATTTCTGCAAGGAAAATCATGATGTATGTGCAGATAAGTGAACTGTAGAAATCATTTTGACTCCACCAGGATGCTCCCAGAAGAGAATTTCACTGGGATGCAGAAGTGCTAATTGAAACCCAGAATGCATTTCACAACCATTCTTGCCTGGGTAGCGTGATCGTCAGTGCACTTCTTCAGTGTCACTAGATTGAAGAACCACCTCTCCCTGTGAGCAGGTTCATTTCAAGTTGCACACTCTAAACTTCAAACACAAAGCACTAAGAGTATCAAGTGGAGGCATCTGATGGAGTCACTCGTGGCTCTCTGCAAGTCCTCTAGCAGGTCTGCGCTGGGGCCCTAGGCACTGCAGCAGGACTCAGGCTTGGCTCTGCAAGCTGTGCAGCACCTTAGTCTGGAAGGGTCCAGTCAGCCAGGCAGGCATCAATGGTGCACCCATGAGGGCAAGTAAGGCCTCAGGTGGTGATGGTGGTGATAGTGATATGTTGCGTTCAGCCTCCGAAAACATCCAGCTGTATATGAGCGCCAGGCTGTTCCAGCCACCATTGTTCACACTGCTGGTGTACAAATGCCCTCCATGGTGTACCCCTCAGGCACCCGCGCTGCGTGATTGGACATGGGAGGGTTCAGCGAGTAGGGGAAGCCAGGTGCCAGAGCCCGAGAAGCCAGGCTTGGGGCCCCACCGAGGACAGCACTGCCTCAACTGCCCCGTGGGGGTCTGTCCTCTGAGGCTTGGGGCAAACCAGTGAGCATAGACGTGCCACCTGCGAGGTGGGAGGGCTGCTGTCCACCCCTTGCAGGTAAGGTAGGCCAGGCAACGTGGAACCCACGCGGGTGGTGGGCACCTAGAGCAGGGACCTGGTCACGGTAGTGGCTGCAGCTGCTGTGGCTGCAGGATGTAAGAAGCCGCAGCACGCCCATCTTAAGCAGCTGGTTCCTAGCTGGAGAGGGTGGAGTTGGTCTGGTTACCAGACCTTGGCTTTCAAGGTTCACAGGGGCTCAACTTGAGCCCCACCTAGACCACAGCAGCTTGCTGGCTGTCAGGGCCTGTCCAGGTCAGTGAAGAGCTTAGGTCCTCCCAGCTCGACAAGGCACTCCTTAGCACAGCAACCGTGGCACTAAAAGTCCATAGGAGCTCTGAAGGGATGCCAGCCTTAGGAGCTGAGCAGAAGTGGACCAGGAGACCATCACTGCAGCATGTCCAGCTGTAGCCCCTGCAGTTGACCACACTACTGGTGCCATACTCTCTACCCTGAAAGCAGGAGGACAAGGATGAGCAAGAGATGGGGAAGGCCTTGGAGAGCTTCAGCAATGGAAAGACCCCAGAGATAACCAGCTGCAGCTCTGGGCTCAAAGCACTTGGGCAGACACTAGCCCATCACAGCCAAGGCAATCCATGCTCAGGTGCTGCTCTGAGCTAACTACTGGCTCCTGGGATGAGAACTGAGCATGGAGACTGGCCAGAGGGGAAGATGATCCTGGATGCTAAGAGAGGCCTAGGGTGCCTGCAGGAGAGCATCAATGAGGCTCATCCATCCTGTCCAATGACCTTGAATAAAATTATCCAAGTAGTTATGCCTTTCATGCCAAATCCCATCAACACATAAGAAGTTTAGAAAGATCAGATGACAAACAACCCATCACAGTACTTGTAAGATGTGAGTACACGGTATGTTGAGTATGATGCAAAAAAAAAAAAAGACAGGTGTAAGAACAATCTAGACCATGTGTGATGTACTCCTTCAGTCAGGTAAACACTGTAGCCTGTGTGGCTATGCTATCTGCCTGCTCACTTTCAGTTCACATCTCTTATATGTCTCAGCATTGTATAGCCATGGTTTTCTGGTTTTGTTGAGTTTCTTTTTTAATTTTTATTGTTGGTTGTTCAAAACATTACATAGTTCATGATATATCATATTTCACACTTTGATTCAAGTGGGTTATGAACTCCCATTTTTACCCCATAT